ACTGACACAAGAGAAGCCCACAGGATGCAAGTGGCAGGGAGCGCTGCAGAAGGATGGCTCATGATTTAAGGTGCAATTCCCAAAAGAGCAGTTTTCTGTCAAGCTGTCAGCAAGGTTTGGTGCTTTTCCAGAGGTGCAGATGTACTCAAGCAGTGGGAAGCTGAGAGCTAAAGCAAGCCCACCCTGCCTGCTTCTCCTTCTGCTTCCCTGCCAGGGAGGAGCCTGTTCCTCCTGCATTTGCAGCACCGAGGGATGGATGGGCTCATGCCTGGGCAGGGATTGTAGTCCCAGGCTTGGAGTGGCACTGCCACCAGCTGTGGTGCAGCTGAGCAGGGCAGGGTGCCCCGGGCTCCTGTGCTGTCACAGATGTGTTTGCCACCTCAGCAGAGCAGGCTCCAGCTGTGCTTCACAGGTGCCCGAGTCACCGGGGTGAAAAACATAAAAACAGCAACACAAAAGCTGCTGGTTTGCAGCAAGGCATGGGAAGCTGGGAGTTCCTTCAGCAATGTGTCCCAGGAATGGAGATGAGCAGCAAAGCAGCAGATCAGCAGTGCTGATCCTCGTGTGGCTGCAGAGAAGGTGCTCAGCAGTCGGCTCAGGCGTTCGTCTGCTCCCACGCTGACAGATGAAGTGTCCACAAAAGCAAACCAGCTGCATTTCAATGGTGCCTGCCTGGTCTGAATGCTGCACACTCCGGTTTGAAATGAAATTCCAGCCCATTGCTGTGCTGACAAGCTGCAGATGATGGCTGTGAACATGACACACAGTTCAGTCTCCCAGCTGCTCATCCTGGCCTCTGCTCTGGGCTTGCCAGAAAGTTCCCTTCTCCCTATCAGAAGGAGGAGATAAAATATTAGAAACTGCTTTATTAGGACAATATTGCTGCTGTGAGATTGGGGAACCCTAAGGCTGGTAAAGTCCAGTTGTTTCATAAAGTGCAGTCATATTTTCCTGAGCCTTTTTGAAAGGAGTCATGAAAAAACCAAACAAGATCATGAGCCAGTGGATTTGGTGGATGTCCTAAAGGGAGTGACAGAAAATACAGGGAGAGGGAGTTTTTATGGCAGGGAGTGTGTTCATGCTTCAGTAACTCAGAGTATCTGTTTGAGCTTTGCCTGCCATGATGGGTGAGGCAGAATCAGGAGATGTCATGTAATTGGGTTTCCATGAAGAACTTGATATCAAACATTCATGAGCAAGGCAAAAATTCCCAGAAAATAAGGTGGTGTCATCCCAAACTGTTGCAGATGGAGAATTCTTCTGAAGATGTGCAAAGGCAACACTATTTGACAATTTGGGCACTTTTTATTTCTTCTCTGGAAGATGGTCTACAGTGGTAGGAGAAAATTATTGAAATATCACTGAGGTTTTTAGCTGGTTTTAGAAAAAAAGAGAGCATTTGAGGGATTTTTCATTGAACCACTAGAGTGCTGCTGTCATTTGATTTGTTCAGAATGAGCAGCAAAAGAGAGAAATAGAAGCTTCTCTGTGAGTGGTTAATTTTCACAAATGTGAATTTTTCCTAGCAGGAGCAAGAGGGTTTCAACACAGGCTGGTGTGAGGCTCTGCAAATGCCAAGTGTCTCCTCTTGGGAGATGGAAAACAAAGTTGGCACCAATGATTAGTGGCTGATTTGGCAAAAGTTGCTGAAAATTGACATCTGAGGGAGAGGTCTTGGGATGATTTAGTAAAACAGTGCAGTGTGAGATTACTTTTGTCATGTTAGTGTGCAAAGTGCAGGGGTGATCAGAAGGAATGTAATGTGGAAAATGTGAAAGACGAATTTGGTGTCTTATTTAGTTCTTTGTTCTTTCTCTTGAGCTTTTCTAGCACATTGTTAGCAGTACAATGATACAGCAAAGTTGCTGACGTTAACTAAGGAAAGTTGAGATGCCAAAACACCACAAATATTTCATTTACTACATATGGAACTTTGCTTCTCTTCCTCTTTCCTAAGATATGGGTATTAATTTCACTTGGATGTAACTGCCATTTAGGAGCAAATCCAACGTGGGAATAACATTGCATGGTCCAGCAAATCCAGCAATTCATCATGCAAGAGCCTGAGAGGCAGAGCAGCACTGGAGGAGGACTCTGTGGGGTTTGTGGTCAGGCGTGTGTGGAGGCATCCCTGCCTGCCCAGGGACAGCCTCTGGGAAAGAGCACTGGGTGGGAAGTTGGGATATGAACCAGGAATCTTGCAGCTACTGTTGTGAATGTTTTAAGCTGTTTCTGGTCTTGGGGTGGTTCCAGCACCAGCTGGAGCCACTGTGGCTTTCCCTCTGCTGGGAAGCACATGGGGTTGGTGCCTCAGAGGTGCCAGTACCCAGCACTGGGCGTATTGTCCTGAGGGGAACAGCTGAGGGGTGAAGGTAATTGTGTATGTGTGGAATTTTTATGCTCCCAAGAAAATTTAAAGTGGTTGGTTGGCACCTAGTGGGAGTGAGATGACTTCCACGGAACCTCCTGATAACTTTTCTTAGGAGTTGGCAGGACTGTAGGGACTACAGTGTGACAGTGATGAAGTGAGCAGCAAACAGGGAGGACAGGCAGTTTTTGCTGCAGGATGGTAGGATCACATTTTGCCTCTGGCTGATTTACTCACAGCAGGAATAAAGTTACCATGTCAGGAGTTAGTTTGACACATAAGGGAGAGAAATGAAAGCACAAAAGCTCAAGATACCTTGACAGTCAATCACACACCCAAAAAACAGCCCCCCAGTCAGCAGAGCTTGCTGTCCACAACCCCAGTGCATGGCTCAGGCTCTCCCCCTGCCCAGCACTGCTGTTCTGCAGTAGCAGCTCTGATAGCTTTGCCTTGCTGCTGATTGCTTTAGCTTTTCATGCACAGCAGAGAGAAGACTTGACCTGCAGCCCCTGCCAGCCTAGGCTTACTTTTCTACAGAGCTTTTAAGATTTATGGTCATATTTTACAGTAACTGTGATTTGTCTTATAGATCATGAATATATGATTGCCCCATGATCCCATAGTGATGGCTTGGTCATTACTCCTGAGCACTAGCAAGGAAATTTTAACACTGAAGTTTTCTAGTGGATTAATCCATGAGGCAGGGCTGGAGCTGGCTTCTTGGCAGGGCTGGAGCCCAGTGAGGAGCTGCCTCCAGCGCTGCCAGGCCAGGCTCATTCGCCCTCCATGGCACACCTGGGAGTGCCGGCTGGGCTCTGCGTGAGCAACGAATTCTCATGCTGAATCATGGATTCTGACCAGAATAATTGTAAAAGCTTGTGGCCCCAGGAGCAGAAGCTGCTGGGAGCCCTGAGGCTGGCAATGAGAATAGAGTGGTTGTGCTTGTTAGCTACATTAACTGCTGCTGTTTGGGGAGAAGGACAGTGGGGCCCCGTGGGGGTGTTTGACCACCACGTGGCACCTTCTCTCTGTCCACTGAGCAAGGGGAGCCCTGCCAGTGCAGTGCAGAGGAGATCCCTGCAGCTGGGGCACTCAGGACAGGTGTGTCCTTGAAGCTTGCTGGAAACTGGCAGGAAGCTGTGTCTTTCAGGGGCTGTCCTTTGCCTGGAGGTCTCTTCAAGGAGAACAGAGACCAGCTTCTCACCACACAAGGCACAGCTTCTCCTGGCTGGTAACTTGTGTGCTCCGTGGGGACTGGGGATGCCTGGTGTGTGTTCCTCCTGGCAGGCAGAGGCTGTGCAGGCCAGTGGGTTGTTGTCACCTCAGTGGGGAGTTGAGGGGACTCTGCTCAGGCTGCACACTGCCCAGGACCTGCTGACACAGCAGCCTGAGGCAGCAAGGTTCAGGCAAGAGCACAGATGTTCTTGTAATGAGCCCAGTGATCTGGTGACTCATTCCCTTCCCAAGCAGCCACTTTTGATGTGAAAACTTCAATAAATGGAAATGGAGAATCCACTTTTGTAACGTTTCCAAGAGCTGTTTTTCATTTCTGGTTTGAAGGTGATGGCTTGGGCTTCCTCCCTTTGCTTCCCATTATATTTCTGTGAATGAAGCATTGGGACCTTTACTCAACCCAAAGCACTCTCTGTACTTTTGCTGACCTCTCTGAAAACTTCCTGACTTTCCTAAAATCAAGAGGTTCTCAGTGGTGATTCCAGTCTCTTGTAATGCAAATGGTAATAATGATATGAATGATAATCATTGTTATTCTGTGGGCTGAAATGTCAAAATTCCATATTTTCATGTTAATTTTTAGTAGGTAAGTGCCACATTAAGCATGTCCATCCTGTCAGGGAACATGCTTTTCATATCACAGGAACTGTTAGAAATCATTAGTAATGAAGGAGACAACTGTTGTGCCTGGTGGCTGGTCTGTGACATGCAGTAATGCAAAGTGACATGGAAAATTTGGAATGAAGGATGAAAAGCTGTTAAAAAAATTGTGGATGTAGCTAAAAATTTATTAATCTCATATCTAAAATGTGGTGCTGAGCTGTAATGATAAATAGGATCCATTTCACTACTGTTGGATTGCATGTGTGCAACTCAGAAAGGAGCTAAAGGGTTGAGGCTGAGGGAACTGCTTTGGTGTTACCTGAATGGATGGCCAAAGGCAACTGCACCTACCTTGAAATAGGAATCTGTGGGCAGCAAGATCAGATTTTGAACCACGTGTCTATCTTTAATTGTTTTAAATAGGGGCTACACTGGGTAGCACAGGATCCCTGGGACAGTGTATTTCTGTTAGAAGTACTTTTAAGCAACAAATATTTTACTGCAAACAGCTCCATTCTTCTCATCAAAACATTGGTATGACTTGCTGCTCTTTGGGGCCTGTATTTATTATGCAGTATTACTTTGTAGAAAGTATTGCTTTTACTTTGGCTAAACAAAAACCAAAAACATTTTGGGTCACGTTTCTCTCTCATTTAGGTAGTTTGTAATTGGCATTTTGTGGATCTAACTCTGTTATGCAACACTCACAACACAACAAGTGCTGCTGCTTCAAATGAATCTGAGCTGAAACCTGGACCTCTCCTGGCTGGTAACTCGTTTGTGTGCTTGATCCCAGGCTCCAACCTCACTGCCTTGGACGCTCTGGGCAGCGCCCTGGGCCTCGCTGAGGAGCAGCTGCAGCGCTGGGGGCAGCGCCGCCGGAGGCACGCCGCGGAGGACGACTACAACATCGAAGTGCTCCTGGGGGTCGATGACTCCGTTGTTCAGTTCCATGGGAAAGAACACGTTCAGAAGTACCTGCTGACCTTGATGAACATTGTGAGTACAGCCCTGCTCGCTGCCCGGTGGGAAGGCTCTGAAAGGGCTGGGAATGTAGGCTGGGTAAGCCATTTGAATAGGACGTAACAGATTTTGCTCGTGGCAGGAGATAAAATAACTCCAGGAGGGAAATCCAGGCCACTTTCAGAAAATCCAATAGGGGAGAAGCAAAAGAAAAAAAAGAGAAAGGAGCCAAGACAGAAGCTGAGTGTGGGACTGTTAAAATGTTCAAAGTCCTTCTTATGTGCTTTGGTGGGTGGGACACAAGGTCAGGGGCTCAGGTTTTTGGAAGTCATTATGTTTCAGCTGTATATTCCCTTAACCTAAGCTTCCTGCTGAGGAACACGGTTTGGAGAGCTGTCTTCAAATAGGGTTCTAACAGAAATTACAACTGGCTTTTACATTTTTAAAACTACTCTGCTGAATTCTCTGATTTCTCAACAGCCACTTTGGGTCCCAGGCCACCTCCCTGCTCCTTGTTCATGCTGCAGTAAAATGTTATGCAGTGTAACACTGAGCTTTCTTAAATTGATTTAGTATCTACTCCATGACTGACATCTTTAGGTTTCCTTAGTTAAATATTTAATCTTCATAACCATAGTCTGTGTAACAGACTATATGGTGCAGGAGTGATGAAAGGAGACACTAGGGAATATTGTGTTTGAAAGAATCACTTTTTATTTCTAAATATCAATGCAGCAGCCCTCTAATACCCCAGACAGTAAGCAAGGACACTATTTTTTGGAAAAGAACGAAGACTTGAAAAACCATCCTTAGTACATATAAAAATCAAAATATATTATATTCTTTTGCTAAAGAAATAGAAGTAAGTGGTAGCCCCCCTCATAGGCAACTCATTTGGGGGTGACTTTCTTCCTTCTCCTTCTCGTCTGGAACAGGAGTCTTTTCTCAATAAAATATGCTTCTGGAAAAGCTTTGGCCTCAGTGAATGTGTATTCTTAGTAAAATAGAGTTGAGTAAAAAATTGTAGGTCTGCTCTGTTTTTGACAAATGGAGTCTGACTGCTGAAGTTTACAGTTGTGTCAAGAGGATGAGCCTGTGGATGACTCCTTTCACTTTGCAAACCACAGAGGCAGAAATCCAGGCTATTAGGTAGATTTGTCTGGGATGTAATTTTTCCAAGATGTATTTTTTTAATTATGAAGCTTGGGTTTTTTCTTTCTTTATTACGTTCTTTTAGCAATGTGCAGAATATCCCTGTTTTTCATTTTAAATGAGAGGTGGAATACAATTTAAGAAAATCCCTTGTGTGATATAAATTCAGTTATGACTTTTTATAACAGCATTCTAAATAGTTAAAAACCTGCTCTGACATTAGAGTTATGGGGTACTTGGTGTCTGCTCTGATGGCTGTAAATGCATATATTCTAACAGAAATGACATAGTGAATTTAATTTATTTGTGTGGTTTGTTTCCTCTGAGGCTTAAAACAAAGTCTACAGTGAAACAGATGGTTTTATGCATCTCTAAATTAACAAGTCAAACAGGCCAAACCAGGAATGTGGCAAACAGGCCAAAATAGATTAAACAGGACTCTTTACTTATCATGTCACTTAAATCTATTTTTAAGAATTAAAATATACAGTAATGGTAAAGAAGCCATAAATGTTCCAGCTCTGGAATATACTTTTTCCTAATTTTAGCAAGCCAAACCAAGACACAAATTGCAAGAAATAACAACTCTTCAGCAGCCTGTCTCTGCAAGTGGTTTAGAAAGTGCAGCCTGTGTAACCATCCCCACAGGGCACAGCAGCTCTTGGCATAGGCAGCAATTGTTCTGTTGAGAGCTCTGAGGTAGAAACATGTCTTTTGGGGACTGAGGATGTGTCCCATGCCTTGTGCCCAAACTCGAGGAGCTGCTTGAAATCCCCAAGGCCTCTTGAAAGGCTCTGGATAGTTGCTGGCAGTCATCATTGTCCTGTTCTTTCCCTCAAAACTCAGCTGGTTTCTAGAGTCTGGGTTTCAGCAGAGGGGCGGTGATGGTAACCAGTCCTGTCTTCAGCTCCAGCACAGAGAGGCAGGAGGGGTTTGTTACTGCAGATGGTGGTGCTGGGGACCTGCACTGTGCCAAGGACAGCACAATGCAGAACTCTCCTTCCTCTCAACAGGGAACTCCGGCTCTTGCCCTCACTGCTGGATGGGTGCAAGGTGTAATTCTGTGTAGAACATGGCTTTGGTCTCCTTTCCTGAGATTCGCAGTGACTCCCCCATTGCCTTCTCTTCTACCTCTGAGTGGTTGGGGGTTTTTGTTTAGAAAATGAGCCCACTCTAAAAGGCCTTGGGGTCCCTGGCTGTTAGGGGTCACATGTACGCAGCGTGTCTCTGATGAGATGTGTAGGTCCAAGGTCACTGAAAAAGAAGACAGCTACAAACAATTCCAGCTGTATTTTTAAATCTAATTGGAGATCCTCTCATAACCATCAGATGGTGTGTACCCTGCTGGATTTAGGATGTAATCAATTACCTTCCTGTGGTAACAAGGCATAGAATCAATTAGCTTTGTATGGTAGCTAGATAGTAAGCATAAAATCAAGAATGCATGGTAACAAAATAAAATAATAGTGAAGATATTTACTGGAGATAAAACAGGTCACCAAATAGTTGAATTTCTGAGGTTCCAAAAATGAAATAAATCTTAGGTGAATTGTCCCTCCTGTGGCAAGACATTACTTTCCCAGAAGCAACTCCCAGCATGGCTGCTTCTCCCACTGTGCTTGATCTCTTTGTGTGTGATGGTGTGAGCAGTTGTCCTTAACTAACTTTTCCCAGGGATCTTGGGTGGAACCCTACCACCAACCCAATCAAAACAATATATTTTTTTCCAAGCCCAGTGCAATGACTGTAAATTCAGTAAAATCTGTTTTGTGCAGCTTAAGTGATGTGTTACAGTCCACACCTAAAAGCCATGAAGTGAGAAAAAACAGGGGCTGGGTGTCCTGGCTATCTTGAATAGCTGTGCTAATATTTATCCCAAAGTTTGGAAATGAAGTCACTCCCAAACAAATGGTGATAGATGCCAGAGGATTTTTAACACGTTGGGCTGCAGCCACGTATCGTCTGACTGTGCGCCAGCCGTTCCACTGCAGTGAGCTCGGCATCATGCCTCCCCTTTTTCATCCTCCAGTCATTTCCTCTGACAAAACTCTGGTTTCTCTTGACCTCCTCTCTTTTCTCTGCTCAGCACCATGGGGGCATTCAGTCACCTTTGGAAAAGATGCCATGGTTTTCTCTTTGGAGACCCTCGGCTGCCTCTCGCTTGCACCATTTTCATTTGCACTTCATGCTGTGTTTTTTCCTGGGAAGGATATTGGCCTGCAAAGTCCTCTGCATTTCCAAGCGTGAGCCCACACATTGCACAAATTAACTTTGTATTTATAGCATGCAGGAGCGTTTCCACAGAGGAGAGATATTTGGGTGGAATCTTGTAGTTCTGTAGTTACTCAAGAACATAGGAGGTAATTCAATTTCAGCAAGAAAGCATCTCAACCCCCCAGTAATTGTATCTGCTTGTACAATTGTTTGGGAAATACTAGAAAAGGCAAGAAGTGGTGTTGTACAATTACCTTGTTGCTTGGGAAAGAAAAGGTTTTCACTGCAGGATGCTCTGGGAGGAGAAGAAAGGAACTGAATGGATGTCATTGAGCTGAATGGCTTGGATAGGCGCACTGATCAGAGGATAAAAAACTGGCTGGGTGGTCAAATCCAAAAGGTGGTGCTAAATGGAACCAAATCCAGCTGGTGGCCAGTCCAAAGTGGTATTCCCCAGGTCCAGCAGTGCTCAATACCAGTGATCTGGATTAGGGAATTGAGTGAATCCTCAGTTCGTGTGCCAGTGACACCAAGGTAGATGGGAGTGTTGATCTGTTGGAGGGCTAGAAGGCTCTCCAGTGGGTTCTGGACATGGCCTCAGGTTGCTCCAGGAGATGCTTAGATTGAATATTTGGAAAAATCTCTTCATGGTTGTCAAGCATTGGAACAGGCTGCCCAGGGAAGTGATGCAGTCACCATCCCTGGAGGTGTTTAGAAGATATTTGCATGTGGCACTTGGAGGGTGTGATTTAGTGGTGACCTTGGCAGTGCTGGGGTTCATGGTTGGACTTAATGATCTTAAAGAGCTTTTCTAACCTAAAGGGCTCGCCCATTGAAATGGGTGTTGTTGGTGCTGAAATTCACTGTTTCATAACCCTCTTAAAAGTAGTTTCCAGGATTAAGCAATTTTCTGGGGTAAAAATCTTTAAATGATTTTCAATTCCTTTACTGTAAAATGGCTGTTATTAAAATATTTATATGTATTCATGTAATAGATATATGGCCAAAATATTTATGATACTAAAGCCCATGTTCTCAAAGTAGCTAAGTGCCTAATTGCTCTTATTTCAAAGGGAGATAGACCCTAAATAAGAATTATGCCTCACTCTGGGCTAGATTTATCTGAGTATTTAGTCATTTACTTGCCTTTGAAATCAGTGAGAATCAGTATTAAAAATTAGCTCATGGGATTATATATCCCCCAGCCTTCAAGTGAAACTTCAACTCCAGAACAAATACATTAAACAACTTTTCATTTGAATAACTGAAATCAATGAGAGTTATGCAGCTGGGGGCTTTGGAAAGTCCCTGGAGTCTTTCACCTGCATCTTTCAGCACTACACATGTCTTTGAAATTGTGGCCCTGAGGCGCTGCTGAATGTGTTATCTGTCCTCTTTAATAGGATGTACATGATACTACTATTATAGATGAGATTTCTGCTCTCGTATCTCTGCCTGATGAGGGATGAAGATTTGCAGGTACAGAACAGCAAGTCCCTAATGAGAGAAAAGGGCAGAAATGCCATCGGTTTCTAACTGACAGTTGGATAAAAACCTGAAAGCATGTCTAATTCAAGCTGCTAAAAAGAAAGTGATGATTGAATACATTGAAATAATGGTGCTCCCTGTCTTCAGAATCATGGTTTTTAAACTAAAAAAGCATTTCTTTT